AGTCTTCTTTGGAGCAAGTTTATCAAGTAAACTGTGGAGAGAGTTCTCATACTGTGCAACACATGAATCAACAGTATCATGATTAAAATCGATGGAAGATAACGCAGCATGGACACCAGTTTGAAACTCCTGACGATCCATTAATTTTAAGTTACGAGTGACAATGGACTTACGAATGGGTTTAGGTTTCCTTAGAAGTAGGTTGCACTGGATTGCAAAATGATCTGACAGTCCCGGTAGAATGGCGACATCCGAGAGAACATTTCCTGATTCTCGAGATATAAAAAGATCTAATGTGTGTCCGCAGCGATGTGTCGATTCCAGAACATGTTGCTTCATCCCATACATAGACAACAGATCACGAAACTGCCTTGCGTTTCTGTTAGTTTCATCATCAACCCAAATATTGAAATCTCCTGTGCACAAGACTTCAGAAGAGCCAAGATGGTATGTATCTAACATCATGCCGAACTCATCAAGGAATATGCCAAATGGTAGGTGACGCCCTTGGTTATCAGAAACTTCTGGACGATAAACGATGATGAGCCTAACTGAACGGGAGTCACTTGTAACCAGTACATGAAGACATTCAAAGGACCTGTACGGTGTAACCTGCTGAACAGTTATAGACAAAGATGATTTAAACAAGAGACCAACTCCTCCTCCAGACTTCTCCTCCCTAGGTCTATGTTGAAAACTGTAACCATCAGGAGTAATTCTGCTAATAACAGCGTTGTCACCATCTCTCAACCACGTTTCACAAATAGCTATTATGTCAAAGTCATTCTCAATAACAAAGTCAGTGAATGCTGAAATTTTATTCCTGACAGATCTCATGTTTAAGGTACACAGCTTAGTAAAATGAGGAATAGTTTTCACAACAGTCAAGTTTGCTTGAATAATTTGTCGTTGATTCAAGCAAACTTCACTCTGTGACTGGGCCTGTAGGCCCGTGCGTGGCTGAATAATAACAGGAATGGAGTAATGTTCACAATAAGAAGTCTTCTTATGACGACTGCCATGCGTTCCCCTTCTGGTTTTCTTTTTACGCTTATAAATTCCAAGATATCTGATGGTCTTAAGTACACAACGAGATATTGGTAACTTACAATCTTTCCATTGTAGAAGCTCCATTGAAGTATACTTCACTTTAGGTTTAGAAGAGATCTCAGGGGGACGAACATCGCCAGTTCCAGTGATGTGTGATGTCGTAGACAGTTTCCTGTCAGGACCGGGATTTGGCTCAATGTCTCCATTTTGTAATAACTCGACCTGAAAGGTGGCATCACAGTTCGAGCTGTAGGAGACCCTTCTTTGTAGAAACTGCTTTCTAGTGTAAGGTTGCTGAACAAGAGGATGACCAGATGGCTTTCCATTGTAGTGCTTAGGTCCATTCAGGCAAATATGTAGACACACAGCAACAAGCAGGCACAGATGAAAGAATCCCATTGTGTAAAAGTTCTGGTACAGTGCATGTACTTAACACATACAAAGACTTACATTACACATAGACAAAATAGTACATGTACTTACAATGTGCAGGCAGCCATAGCTTCTTGCCTTGACTAAGATAAGTAATGTTGCCAAAAATTGTATTAACTTAAGATACCCAGAAACAAGCATAAACGCCCTGAAAAAGGTCTAGCTGCATCTAGATAACTAGCTTAAGCAAATGATAACAAGTACAGATACAAGCGATACATTAATACAATGAAAATAGCAAATATTAAGAGCCCTGTGGAGAGCTACACCTAGTGTGTGCTAATCCACATGTATTCAAATTATTTGCGGAAGAAGGATTGTCATTGTAAGCAGATTGCTTGATAAAACGACAACCCCAGACAAAAACTCATGAATATATTAACACATATTAAGCAGATACGGATAGGTAATTGAAAATACAAATTTCGATGATGGTGATATTGACAATGCAGATGAGGATGATGATGATGATGAAGATGATGATGATGATGATGATGATGATGATGATGATAATGATGCGAATGAAAGTAGAGATGACATGATAAACATTGAAGAGTTGACACAGAAATTCTACCTTGAGTATTCTGATAACATCGTTTTAACTTTGGCCTTAAATGAGTAGAGTGAGCAGGCCCGTAGCCACGGGGGGGGGGGGGGGGGGCACGTGCCCCCCAAATTGAAATTGTTTAGACCCCTCCCCAGAACGTCGATCAATTACATGTATGTGTCCCCCCCCCCCCCCCCCCTAAACATCAAACTCTGGCTACGGCCCTGAGAGGGAGCAACATGATTTAATAGATTCTGGGAGAAAGTTCCATAGGTCAGGACCATGGTGTCTTATGGATTTATTTCGGGTATACTAGATGAAAATTTGAGGAATTACGAGTAGGGTAAGAGTGAATAGCTTTATTCATAGTGTAAAAGTTTTGAAATGAAAGAGGGAGCATATTTTTTATATACTTAAACATGATCAGTAAACATTGTAGCGAATTTATGTCGAATACTGTAAGGGTTTTCAGTTTGTAAAATATTGGACTTGTGTGAGATAAATAATGGTGAACCAGTACATAATACGAAGGGCTTTCTTTTGCAATAAATAAATAGAGTTGATTTTGATTTTGGCGCTGGTGGCCCATACTAAATTGCAATATGTTATATACTGTAATATCAATGAATTATAAAGCATAACAAGCGGATAACAAGGGATTAATTTCTTCTTTCAAAATCGTTTCAAAATTACAGTAAGTTCATTGGCTGCATGTATCTCTTTCAAAAAGTGTTTGAACTAACTATAACAATCCCATTTTTGTCTTGATGTCTTGATGTCTTGATTTGAAATGTCTTGATTTGTAACTGTCCCTTATTACCTACGCATGTTGGTAATGAGAGACCTTTGGTGATGACGTCATAAATTATTTTTATCTTATTAATCAGTTACATCATGACCACAATTTTGTTTCCCAATAAAGAGAAGAAGTTACTAAAGAGAAAACAAAACTTTCTGTATGTGTAACATTTTTCATGTTTATGTAAATTATGGAAATGTGCTTAAGGGTCTCCAATTCCCCCACACCCACCCTAGTACTAGAGATTAAAGAGGGCACTTACGAGAATGGAAAATGGACACTTATTGCAATGGAAAATGGGAACTTGTCGAAGGAAAAGGGGCACGTGTCAAAATAAAAGGGGCACTTATCAGAGTAAAAGGAGCACTATTCCTATGTAAAAAGGGGCACTTTTCGGGTGCTTGAAAAAGTGGGGGGCACTGTGCCCCTACTCCCCCCAGAAGGGCGGCCTCTGCTGGGGAGTATTCCTACCATATGGTCACCGTGAAGGCATAGGCATAACTAACACAAACTAACACGGTAAAGAGTTAATATTCCAGTTTATAGACAATGTACATGGCGCTATAGGGTGGTGAAAAGTTAGCGTAGGGTGATAAAAAATTAATTGTGCAGTTTATCCATAGACAATGTACATGGCGCTGTAGGGTGGTGAAAAGTTACCGTAGGGTGGTGAAGAGTTAATAATTATTCCAGTTTATCCATAGACAATGTACATTGCGCTATAGGGTGGTGAAAAGTTAGCGTAGGGTGGTGAAGAGTTAATATTCCTGCTTATCCATAGACAATGTACATGGCGCTAGGGTGGTGAAAAGTTAGCGTAGGGTGGTGAAGAGTTAATATTCCTGCTTATCCATAGACAATGTACATGGCGCTAGGGTGGTGAAAAGTTAGCGTAGGGTGGTGAGAGTTAATATTCCAGTTTATCCATAGACAATGTACATGGTGCTATAGGGTGGTGAAAAGTTAGCGTAGGGTGGTGAAGAGTTAATATTTCAGCTTATCCATAAACAATGTACATGGCGCTAGGGTGGTGAAAAGTTAGCGTAGGGTGGTGAAAAATTAATATTCCAGTTTATCCATAGACAATGCACATGGCGCTAGGGTGGTGAAAAGTTAGCGTATAGGGTGGTGAAAAATTAATATTCCAGTTTATCTATAGACAATGTACATGGCGCTAGGGTGGTGAAAAGTTAGCGTAGGGTGGTGAAGAGTTAATATTCCAGTTTATCCATAGACAATGTACATGCATGGCGCTATAGGGTGAAAAGTTAGCGTAGGGTGGCGAAAAGTTAATATTCCAGCTTATCCATAGACAATGTACATGGCGCTAGGGTGGTGAAAAGTTAGCGTTGGGTGGTGAAGAGTTAATATTACCATTTATCCATAGACAATGTACATGGCGCTAGGGTGGTGAAAAGTTAGCGTAGGGTGGTGAAGAATTAATATTCCAGTTTATCCATAGACACTGTACATGGCGCTAGGGTGGTGAAAAGTTAGCGTAGGGTGGTGAAGAATACTCCAGGTTATCCATAGATAATGTACATGACGCTAGGGTGGTGAAAAGTTAGCGTAGGGTGGTGAAGAGTTAATATTACCATTTATCCATAGACAATGTACATGACGCTAGGGTGGTGAAAAGTTAGCGTAGGGTGGTGAAGAATAAATATTCCACTTTATCCATCGACAATGTACATGACGCTGATGTGGTAAAGAGTTGAGAACGTGAAAAATTATATCCATAGAAAATATTTACATGACGGTGACATAATGGTGAATAGTTTCTGCAGGGAGGTGAGACTTTAACTCACATGCCCTGGTTTCTGCGTGTACCACCTTTCAAATATATAACATATTAACATTCATGCATGACTTATAATTATGGTGCGGGGATATATTGCAATTCAAAAGAAGATAATAACTTTTTAATTTCTAACATACATGAGGTGAGGTCTTAGTATAATTCTTTGATTTGCCCCTAAGTACTGCGCTTTACCCCCCCCCCCCCCCCCCCCCCCCCTCCATCATCTACTCTCATTATATCCGACCACCATGCCTATTTTAATTGGTAGCCAGCCATCGTTGCACTGATCATGCCTGACGGATACAATACACAAAGAATATATTGCGTGTGTGTACAATGCGATCCTTACACTTATCAAATTGGCAATTTTTACACATTGGATAGGCTACCTTCATCTCCGATTAGGTGTGTGAAGAAAAGCTTATCTAGTCACTGTACCGCTAAATCAAGTAAATGGCATGCAAGTAGGGTAAACTTGGAGGGTTCAAAGATGTTCACTGACCTAAATGCCCATATCGTAAGCAGTGAACCTGACAGCCAGGTAAGTTGGCAACTTCTTTTTTTTTTTATCGCCACCGGCATCTGTCCGAGGAACAGACCTTCGGCTTCGCCTTCGCCAGATCTACCCCTCCAGACAGCTCAGGCCAGGTGCGTCGGCTTAGTATGCATACCATGGTATGCAAATACGGCACCCTAGGCCCCTGGCACTGGCGGTATCTGCACGAAACGCGCACGCGCACGAAGCCCTACTGCCCTTGGCCTAACCTAAGTTTAGGGCAAGGGGCACGTGATAGTATGAAAAATATGTGATAAAATTCTAGCCTAGGTCTATATCAATGAATATTCATATTTGTTTGCTGTGCCACTACCGCGCATGCGTACTTTTTCTTTGCCATGTTGAATCAATGATAGATCTACTTTGAACATGGATGAATCGTCAGCTAAGTTCCCAGGACCAAAATCCAGTTGAAACCAATTGGAGCAAAACCAATTGAAACCAGTTGCCAACTGGTTTCAATAGGGAAATTGGAACAACTGGTTCCAATTGAAACCAGTTGCCAACTGGTTCCAATTGAAACCAGTTGAAACCAATTGCCAACTGGTTCCAATTGAAACCAGTTGAAACCAATTGCCAACTGGTTCCAGTTGCCTAACTGGTTTCAACTGGAACCAATTGTTCCAATTTCCCTATTGAAACCAGTTGGCTTCAACTGGTTTCAACTGGTTTCAATTGGTTTCAATTGGATCCAATTGAAACTTACAGATGGCATAAACTTAATTAGTTATGAGTTAATTAGCTCTTGCACTAATTATCGCTCATGTCAACACAGAAACATTGTTATATGTGTCTACATTAAGTACAATGTAAAGGGCATTATAATATGCAGACCATATAATATACTTAACAAGGAAGGCATTGCCATTATATATGTTTGTATTTGATGTATTTTGTACATGGTTAGTGTTTTACTAATCAACTTTTAATCTGTGTAATTACAAAAATATATTACTAATGAACATGCTTATCATTGCTAATTAATCTTTATATTTATCTAAAACAAATGCATTACTTGCAAATGAAAACTAATTAATAAGTACATTGTAAATCAAAATAAATTACATAAAACATTGATCTTCACACAAGCATATAATATGCAAATTAACTGGTTTCAATTGGATCCAGTTGCCGGTAACTGGAAATATTTCCAATTGGAACCAATTGGGTAACTGGAAATGAATTCTAACTGGAACCAGTTGGGTAACTGGAAATTACTTCTAACTGGAAATGAATGCTAACTGGAACCAATTGGGTAACTGGAAATGAATTCTAACTGGAACCAGTTGGGTAACTGGAAATGACTTCTAACTGGAAATGAATGCTAACTGGAACCAGTTGGGTAACTGGAAATGAATTCTAACTGGAACCAGTTGGGTAACTGAAATGAATTCTAACTGGAACCAGTTGGGTAACTGGAAATGACTTCTAACTGGAAATGAATGCTAACTGGAACCAGTTGGGTAACTGGAAATGACTTCTAACTGGAACCAGTTGGGTAACTGGAAATGACTTCTAACTGGAAATGAATGCTAACAGGAACCAGTTGGGTAACTGGAAATGAATTCTAAATGGAATCAGTTGGGTAACTGGAAATGAATTCTAACTGGAACCAATTGGGTAACTGGAAATGACTTCTAACTGGAAATGAATGCTAACTGGAACCAGTTGGGTAACTGGAAATGACTTCTAACGACTAACTGGAACCAGTTGGGTAACTGGAAATGACTTCTAACTGGAAATGAATGCTAACTGGAACCAGTTGGGTAACTGGAAATGAATTCTAACTGGAACCAATTGAGTAACAGGAAAATCATCTTAATGTTTCCAGTTGAACTTCTAACTGGAACCAGTTGGGTAACTGGAAATGACTTCTAACTGGAACCAATTGAGTAACTGGAAAAATTACCTTACTGGTTCCAGTTGCACTTCTTATTGGTTTGAACTGGAAATGAGTACCCATAACAATATTTTCCAGTTCGGCAATTGGTTTCAACTGGAAATTTTCTATTCCAATTGAAACCAATTGAAACCAATTGAAACCAGTTGAAACCAATTGAAACCAGTTGGAGATTTCAACTGGTTTCAATTGGATTTTGGTCCTGGGTTAGGATGGAGAATCACCCTTTTTCGCATTGGAGACTTCTTCAAATTATAATTTTAAATGGTTGGAAAGATGCCCAGAGAAGTTGAAAAAACATTGTAGTCTAAGTCAAAATTGTAATTAAAACCTCTTGAAATTTCGAAAAAATGTGACCCAACCCGCTGTTTGAATCGTTTTCATGTCGGAGATCCCTGGAGTTACCCTTCACGTAAAAATGTACGCACTGCCGTGCGGTTCACTGAACTTTGTGTCCGACATCTGCGCCTCCATTGAGAATTGACAGAGAAAATCGTGAGGGGCAGTCCGGGCACCATCCGGAGCCCACACGAGACCCGTATGGTGCACCAAGGGCCCTTAACAGGCTTTCTACGGCTTAACGGTCAGATGAGAACGCCAGGAGAATTGGGAGCAGCCAACTCGGCACCATGGCGCCAATCATCTGGTGAACAGTGTCCCGGCCGAAAATTCCCAAAATGTCTGTTTTTTACTCGCCGTACGGGCCCCGGAGTGCATAAGTGAAAGCCCCATTAGGAAGCTGTGGTAATTTAGACACCATGGACAACTCTCAATTTTGTTATAAAAAATTATAGTGTTCTCTTAGTCTTACTTTAAAAATACTAACATAAAGCCAGGGTAATAATCGGGGCAGCACCAGGAGCGTCACAACATGACAGATATGTGTGCTATATAAGAAGCCACCATTATTATTATTATTATTATTATTATTTGTAAAGTGCCATATCCATTTCGCATAAATACTCAAGGTGCTGAGAGTATACATGAGTTATCTTGCAAATCATTAACATGTAGAGGCTATGATATCTTTGAATCTTGATTTTAAAAGGGAGACTTCTTTCTTGTGACGGAAGCATGTGATTCTGATGGGAGCTTCATCTTACATCACTTCTTGACACAGTATCTAAAATGTAAGTTTTTGCATGCTTCATTTACTGATTTTGAAACCTGGTATATATATATATATATATATACTGTTTGGTTGATCTATTCATTGTTGTATGATGCATTTTAGATGAGTCATATAATTACCCAGCAAGTTAATTACATACTCTACTTCCAAAGAGCATAAACTTGAAAATTCCACCCTACCCCCCCCCCCCCCCCCCAAAAAAAAGAAGGGTGATACACAAAATGTTGTTGTCAAAGACCCTTACATTTTCTGCTACGTCAGATGGTCTCGGTTATTTCAGTGAGTAATAGAGAAAGAGGCTTTTCAGGAACTAAAGGGTTAAAAGAAATATAGTATAAGTCAAACTCTGTGTTATGACATGTTTTGTATAATAAAATTCATGGTATGTTGTTCCAGTTGCATGTGCCTTCTCCATTTCAGATCTACGGTACCCATAAAAGCTGAGTCTCATTGCTTTTAGACTTACAGTACCAGCTTATGTATAAAGTATGTACAGAGGTAAAGATGTCATCTCATTTTATCAGCTAGAGTGCCATTAACAAAATGAATTACTGCTAATTTTTATAATCAAGTTCAACTTTTATCTATTTTGATTTACAGCTAGCAGTAAAGTTGTCTTCCTTGGCCTGGCACAGTCATTCAGTCACTACAATGCAGTGGCACAAAAATTGGTGAGTAGTTATCAGAATTAGGTGACAGAAAACAGTTGTAATAATAGGAGTTTATGAAATAGTAGTGTTGGAGTACACATCGATCGCAGTGCACTCGGCCTTTTTATCCTGCAAGACTTATGTCTTGAAAATTGTTCATAGTTCATAAAGACAGTAACGATGCAGATGCTTAACTGAAATATGATGCAGGTTTACCCAATAATTTTCATTATTTTTGGACATCACGTTAACTAATTATTTCACCTTGGTGCTTCATGAGTACCTTGCATGTAATTTCATTTTTTATTTTTTACTGAAATATGATAGCTTTATGGGAAATAAAATTGCCAGAAATTAATTTAACTGAACATTTTATGAAATTGTAAAATGACATGGTAAAGTACTCATTTTCATTCTAAATTAAATTGTCATTTGTGGAAATGAAAGGGAAAGCCTATGTTGCTAATTACATTTCATGGTTTATTCATCAGGGTGTGAATTTAATGGCAGCCAGAACTTCAGGACAGCTGGACTTCATCAGTGGCTTACAATATTCATTTCCATTAATGAGAGAAGAAGGTTCATCAGTTCAATCTAGCAGCCAAGACACTATTCTTCAAGACTGCATAATGTAAGAAAGTAATTTTTGTTAAGTCATATGTATTCTATTGCTGTAATCTTTTCGTATACACCTCTCATAACTGAAATCTCTTGTGTAACTGCATTATCGATTTAATTGCTATCATTGACGACCCCTCTCCTTGTCAGTTTCAAAGGTGTACAATTGGTCATGACACAAATGTTGGTGTTGTAGTAAAAAATATGCCTGTGTATCAGGAAAAGGCAAAAGTGAAATGTTGTCAAAGGAGGTGTAGTCACTATGGTGACACTCATGTAGCTGATGGATTCTGGACTTGTCTCTCAACACATAATTTGACCCAAATTTATCAATTTCAGATTTGACAAAAGTAAACAGATGTCATTGTATTATATTAACAGTTTGTTAATCTGAAAGTTACCTGGAAGTCTGATGGAAATGAAATTAAAACTTTTTAGATTTAGGATCACATTAAAATATAAGCAAGTCTCAAGCGTCATTATCTTTCCATTTTTGCAGCTCAAAGTCTCTACATCCACTCTACAAACAGCTACAAAAATATATTGGGAAAGAGACTGGTACGCAAACCTATGATGGAACTCTTCTCATGATAGATGACCTCAGCATTCTACATAGTCTAGGAGTTGAGACCAGTCAAATAGCAAACTTCATGCAGTACTGCCAAGTAAGTAAACCATAGGGTTCTACATAGTCTAGGAGTTGAGACCAGTCAAATAGCAAACTTCATGCAGTACTGCCAAGTAAGCAAACCATAGGGTTCTACATAGTCTAGGAGTTGAGACCAGTCAAATAGCAAACTTCATTCAGTACTGCCAAGTAAGCAAACCATAGGGTTCTACATAGTCTAGGAGTTGAGACCAGTCAAATAGCAAACTTCATGCAGTACTGCCAAGTAAGCAAACCATAGGGTTCTACATAGTCTAGGAGTTGAGACCAGTCAAATAGCAAACTTCATGCAGTACTACCAAGTAAGCAAACCTTGGACAAGTCAAAGAGGCAGTAGTAGTAGTAGTAGTAGTAGTAGTAAGCATAGGCGTAGTAGTAGTAGTAGTAGTAGTAGTAGTAGTTGTTGTTGTAGTAGTATTGGTAGTGGTATTAGTGGTGGTGGTGGTTGTAGACGTATACGTAGTAGTAGTAGTAGTACGAGAAGTAGTAGAAGTGAAAGTAGTAGTAGTAGATGTAATGGTAGTAGTTATAGTATTAGAAGAAGTAGTAATAATAGCACCCATCATTTTTTAATGCCTCCGTTACGAAGTAGCCGGAGGCATTATGTTTTCGGGTTGTCCGTCCGTACGTACGTCTGTACGTACGTACGTCCCGTTCTCGTGATCGCGTTATCTGAAGAACCGATTGATGGATTCCTGCCAAACTTTGGTCATGTATGTATCTTGCAGAGCCGATGAACTGATTAGATTTTGGGGGTCACAAGGTCAAAGGTCAAAGGTCACAGGGTTCATTATGTATGCAAAAACAGCTCGTAATCGCGTTATCTGAAGAACCGATTGATGAATTCCTGCCAAACTTTGGTCATGTATGTATCTTGCAGAGCCAATGAACTGATTAGATTTTGGGGTCACGAGGTCAAAGGTCACAGGGCACATTATGTATGCAAAAAATAGCTTGTGATCGTACAATCATTAGAACAGATTGATGGATTCCTGCCAAACTTCATTTATGTATCTTGCAGAGCCAATAAACTGAGTAGATTCTTGGTTCATAAGGTCAAAGGTCAAAGGTCATTGGCTCATTATGTATGCAAAAATAGCTTGTGAAAGCATTCTCATTAGAACTGACAGATGGATTACTATTTAACTCAGGACATCTTGCAGAGCCAATGAACTGAGTAGATTTTAGGGTCATGAGGTCAAAGATCAAAGGGTCATATATGTATATGAGAAATTGCTTGTAATCATGATATTCTGAGAACCTGTTAATGGATTACAATTGAACTGGAATTTTAAAAATTTCTTCTGTTTTGGTTTCTAAAATTGCTCTATGACGGAGGCATCATTTTCGACTGCGCGCAGTCGAAGTTCCATCTAGTTTAAACCTGCTTTAAATATGAACATTTCTCTTTTTATCCAATAATTAATGAAGGTGATACAAAAGTTGCAATGAAGATCACGAAATACAGGCAAAACCCCAGGGGCACTTGTCATGTATAATACCCCTAATTTTAAATTAATTTATGATATTAGTAATTCTTCTCATTATTATTGTTATAATTATCATAGTAATGGTGATGATGTTGATTACTATTATTTTTTATTATTGTTACTGTTGTTTTAATTTTTACTATTAATATTTCGATTATGATTATTGTTTTTTATATTATTATTATATATTTTTTTTATTAATTAATTTATTATATTATGATTATTATTATTATTATTCCCATTGCAGCAATCTGGCAGTATTGTGAGTTTACTTCATTGTGATGGAGATGAAGATGAAGAGATGCTATCATTGAGTACTCAGCTCCAACATGCCTGTACCTGTCATCTAATGATAGAGGGCTTACCAACAGGCTTTTCTAAAGACGTCCATGGTCAGGTAAATCTCCATTGTTGGATTGGTAGGATCAATGGAATCCTATGAAAAGATAAACAATATTCCTGGAAGATTAAGGATATGGCTAGGTGATGCAGAGAAAATGCAAGTGATCATTGTTGATAGGTGAAATCAGTTATTCTATTATTTATTTGCCAAATCACCATACAAAATAGTGCTTTGAACATTTTTCCAGGAATGCAGACATAAAAAAGCAAAGTAGGGTAATAGTCCATGGCAACAACTAAGAACCCTAGTGTAAGAAATGTAGTGTTTCCACATCTAGTATGTTAAGAGCCTTAGTATACTATAGGCAATCTGTTGGAAGCCATTGTGCAACTATGGATGCTGTAGAACAGCGGACCAGATGAGCTGCTAGATTGATGTGATGCAACAAGGCCCTTTCGTGCTTCATTATGCATGTATGAGTTGTCAATACCTTGCACATTTGTCATGTTGAAATACGTGATGGATAGCAAGAAGCAATATTCTGCGTTCCCATTTATATCTGCTGCTTATTTTAATGTACATGTACTTGTTGTAATTCTGTTAATTGTTAAAGGCTCCCGTACAAATAAAAAAAAATCAACTTTTACTCTCATAGCATGGTGCACTTCAAATTTCTGTATGTTATAATGCAATGATTACAATGAAAATACAAAACTTGTAAAAGGACAAGTGGGGACCTTTTATAAGCAGCTGCCTTTTTAATCCTCTCTTGCCATACATGTACTTTAATAAGATGGTATTTTGCTTTTACACTTTTCTGTTGTCTTGTATAAAGGTTGACATATTGTTTTTATATTCACTCTTGATATAGTTGACCATCAGACAGAAATCATCAAATGTAGACAATGCAAGACCATCAAAGAAGATGCTACAGTTCAAGATCACAGACAAGAACGTGTCCTTCTTCCCTGCCGGTACCTCCTCAGCGGTCCTTTGAGTGTCAAGAACGTGACCTTCTTCCCTGCCGGTACCTCCTCAGCGGTCCTTTGAGTGTCAAGAACGTGACCTTCTTCCCTGCCGGTACCTCCTCAGCGGTCCTTTGAGTGTCAAGAACGTGTCCTTCTTCCCTGCCGCTACCTCCTCAGCGGTCCTTTGAGTGTCAAGAACGTGTCCTTCTTCCCCACCGGTACCTCCTCAGCGGTCCTTTGAGTGTCAAGAACGTGACCTTCTTCCCTGCTGGTACCTCCTCAGCGGTCCTTTGAGTATCAAGAACGTGTCCTTCTTCCCTGCCGGTACCTCCTCAGCGGTCCTTTGAGTGTCAAGAACGTGTCCTTCTTCCCTGCCGGTACCTCCTCAGCAGTCCTTTGAGTGTTAAGAATGTGTCCTTCTTCCCTGCCGGTACCTCCTCAGCGGTCCTTTGAGTGTCAAGAACGTGTCCTTTTTCCCTGCCGGTACCTCCTCAGCAGTCCTTTGAGTGTCAAGAACGTGTCCTTCTTCCCTGCCGGTACCTCTTCAGCTGTCCTTTGAATGTCAAGAACGTGTCCTTCTTCCCTGCCGGTACCTCCTCAGCAGTCCTTTGAGTGTCAAGAACGTGTCCTTCTTCCCTGCCGGTACCTCTTCAGCTGTCCTTTGAATGTCAAGAACGTGTCCTTCTTCCCTGCCGGTACCTCCTCAGCAGTCCTTTGAGTGTCAAGAATGTGTCCTTCTTCCCTGCCGGTACCTCTTCAGCTGTCCTTTGAGTGTCAAGAACGTGTCCTTTTCCCCTGCCGGTACCTCCTCAGCAGTCCTTTGAGTGTCAAGAACGTGTCCTTCTTCCCTGCCGGTACCTCCTCAGCGGTCCTTTGAGTGTCACCAACCAAAACTTCTTTCACTACATCCTGGACCATGTGGAAGCAGTAAGATGCACAGCATGTATCGGTGATAAGGAGGGTTCCACAGCATGCATGCATGTGCTAAGTAAGGGCATATGTGCAGAGCTCTGTTTCTGATTCCAACATGACCTTCAGCTTGCCAGCCTGTAGGAGCAGGCATGAGCACCTTTCTTAGAATGAGTAGCAGGACGAGGAAGTTCCAGTGTGCTCTGGTGCCTTGTTTTTCGGTAATGCTCTTGCAGTAACATTGGAACTAACCTAATTGTACACAGTCAATGATTGTGCATCAAGACTGCTACATGTACTCATTTATCCATCTGAAGTCACCCTTGAAGACGTAAGATAGATCATAAAATACAAGAGAACAAGGCTACTCAGTAAAGGGAGAGTTTGAGAAGGGATTTGTAGCGTCTCTTTGTATGTTGCATACCCTCTCTTTTTCAGCTTTTATTTTTCAGCACCATTATCATGATATCTCAAGAACCATTTTAGCTGTGAACTTTAACTTTGTCTTAGTGTCTGTGTGTCATGACAGTGAGATGAACTAAGTATATTTTGAGATGAAAAGGCTGAAGGTCATATAGATCCATATACATCAAATCAAACATTTCTAGCATTGTTAACCATCTTGATAACCATCTTGATAACCATCTGAGCTGTGAACTTCAAACTTAGTAATAGTATGCATCAATATAGGGAGACAAACTAAGTAGAGGTGGAGGATTTAGGTCAAAGATCACAACATTTAATCAATGATAGTTATGACATATTAGTGCTGTAAATGAGTTTGTTTGAAGTAGTAAACTCAATAGGGTAGCAAAGTGAGCAGAGTTTACAGTAGTTAAGTAAGTGCTATTGTACATATTGTTTTTAATGAACTTATATTATAAATACTCAATATTATTTCAATATATTATTTAGAGACAGGTCATTAGATAAATGATTTATGTGCAGTATTTATAATAGATGTCTCCTTGATAGTTGTGTAAATCATTATTTTGTGATTGAATTGTTCCATTAAAGTTCATTAGATTAAAGCATGAATTTTTAATGGAATCATTTTTTCTCATTCCAAACACCTTGTATGTATTACTGAAAACATTTGTACTGGAAAAGGGTAATTATGAATTACCTTCATATGGGGAGAGGCATATTGGAGCTGCATTTTTATACATTTAGTTGCTCTTTATTCCCTTTATTTTGAATCCCTTTTTCTTCTTTTTTCTTTTTTGACCATTGGATTTGAGAGGGAATTGGCCTTAGTACTCTTTTCGCCATGCTACTGACTGATTACAAAAAAAAATTCCATGTTGAGATGTTGTGTTAGATGCTTCTCATAATCAGAAACATATACACACAAAAAAGTGTAGGAACACATAAAGCATAGCACATGGAAATGCCATCATATTCTATTCAGCATCAGATCCATGGTTTTATTCATCTCATCTTATGAATACTATTCTGAAGAATGTTCAAGTATGACATTGTATGATGTCTATTTCAAATGTATACTAATGATTGAATTTTATTTTTAAAATTCAAGATGGCTGCTTTTATACCTAGTGGGATTTTTTCTGCAATGGGAATGTAAATCTTCATTTACTAGAAACTTTAGTCACTTTCTTGGAGATAAGATTAGGTGTATGGAGTATAGTGAACTTCACTATAGAGAACATAGTTATAACTTATAAGGAACCCTTGTTTTAACAAATCTTTTGCATGTACAATTTTTTTGTTTTCTATCGCATTTTAGCCCTGATAAAACAAGATTCAGTATAACGAGGTTCTTTCCCTGGTCCCTAGGCTTGTTTATTTTATATGATGATGTTCACTGTATACAGTCAATATCATTTGAGATTTTAGAACATGAAATAAGTTATGTGAAGTTGAAATTATTTTTCAGTTTCTTGCCTATGATATATATTATATGGCATATATAGGCTATAATGTAGATCATCAGATGTCATTAATGGTACAAATAAAAAGGAAATTATGTATCTAACTCATTTGGTTACATGACTTTAGTTATTTGTATGCAATAGATGAGATTACTATTGATACTGCATGTAATGAATGAGAGACTACTGGAAAAACAGTAACTGTCATTACTCTAAACTACTCATAATATATTTACAAACATTTCATGCTTTCATGAAAAAGTTACAGTACAATGTATTTCATTTGTACCTAGCCTAAAGTGTATCTATACTAATAATGATAAAGGGGGTGTAGCATGGCAAAAACTGTTAACGCCATCTACGACTTCTTTTGGACAACTGCACATGAACGAACAGACTTCATTATCAGCCAGCGTTCGCGAAACAGACGGAAGTTCTCCTCACACTTCCGTTTCATGTATTTTGCACGCACATGAATACTGCTATCGCGTAGTCTGTAGTCGTATTACACCCGATTGGCCCCCAAGTCAGGCCACGGGAAAGACACATAGTCTCGTCGTGCTACACTCCCTTTAATACATTATCCTGACTTCCCCTAAGGATGTTAATGGTACGTCTTGTAATGTGATATACAGAGATTGTCTATTTATATGAAGTTAATAGATGTCGGTGGATGAAATGTCATGTTCAGACTCCTTGTTTGTACTGTTTGTGCCAGTCTTCTGTATGATTGAACATGATTGCTTTACATTAATCACCATACCAGTAGCAGTCAACACAAAGAGAGATTGATACAAGAAACATACTATATGTATATACATTTGATACATTTATTATATAACCCTGGAATGACTTTTGCACATGGAGACTTTCATTTATTTAGAGACATACCTCTATAATTGATCTTTATTCAAGAGTGATTATTTATTCAGTCATTCATTTATACATTTATTCATTCTTTGAGTGAACCCAAAGTAGAAAGCTAAGATTTTAATGTATGAGGTGAGGCATAATATTAAGCCCAGATTATCTTGGAATGGAAGCTAGAATGATTCAAATATCCTGGAAACCCGGGAAAATCTTAATCTTACCCATCATCGTCAGATTTCAGTGAACTACTCCTGCAAGAATGCTCTATTAATTTAATCTTTCTATCATCAATATTTGGACATGGAAATTAACTTCAGCTTCAATTACCAGGGATGGGATTCCTCCGCCGATTTCGAGATTTCAAAACCGTTTTGTTTTTCCTAAGCATAACCCAAACCACCGGACCCCCATTTAATCTTTCTCCTTTTTGGTAATTTCCCTGTCTCATCCCTGAACTACCTTAGATATAGTCATAGTGTTTGGTCAAGGACTGAAGTTAGGTTGAGTGTACAGGACTGAAGTTGGGGTTAGGGTTAGGTATAGTGTTTGGTTCAAGTTAAAATTATAGGAATTCAGATACAGTGTAGTGCAGAAAACTAACTGCGGAGGAATTTTTGTGGGAACATGTTTCGTAGAACCAAAACTATATGGATTATGCTTTCATCATTTCGGTGAACAATGTCAGCAAACTCACCCTGGAAACCTATTCAAGCTTCAAGACAATTATGCAGCCAGTTAACCCCTGTATTAATACCAGCCAAGAACCTCTGCACTTTAAGGACAATCGCGAATTGGAACACACTGAAATTATGATTATTACATATATTCCACATTGATTAACATTTTATTATTGAACTATCACTCATGTTTACACCTCATTATGAAACTGGGATTTATAATGTAATAAAACTGAATATGATATAACATTATAATCATTAGTAGTAGTATAAGTAGTAGTAGTTGTTGTTGCTTTTGTTAACCCCTGTATTAAATATACCAGCCAACAACCTTTACACTTTAAGAACAATCACGAATTGGAACACATTGAAATTATATGATTGTTACACATATTCCACATCGATTAACATTTTATAATTGAATTATTAATCATGTTTACACCTCATTATAAAGCTGGGATTTATACTGTAATCAAAATTAATATGATATCATATTTAATTTGTTGATATTGCTTTCATATTTGAAATTTGGATCTTATCAAATGATATTTAAATAAATACATTGAGCGAAATGCGGTTTCTTGTCAATTAAGGCCGATAGGAATCAGGCGTAATCTACATGCACAAGATAGTAAGTTTGTAAACACAGCTTAGTACGCTATAGTGTACCGAGGAAGGAAAACTAATGTTACTATACCAATACACAGGGTGTAACAAATCCTTTTCTCACTGATCTTTACATTTGCTACATACATTGGCAAGAAACGTTTTAACAAGCATTGTATATAATATATTTACATGAAATATAAGATATTCCACATGTGAAGAAAAAAACATTACATGATTGTTCAAAATAGTTAAACAAATACGTACTATAATAGCAGCATTCAACTATGTAGGCCTAAACAGTAACCAAATCATTGAACCTATCAGATGTTCTCTTTTTTTGTTTTCATCGATTTTTATTCTCTTCTCTCATAAAGAAAAACAGAATAAAAAAGATAAAACGATTCCATTCCAGTCGTGCAAAGATTGGATTGTTTTTTTAGCAAGAAATAATCAATAGCATACATTTAAGTATGTTTTATGTTATATAAGGCAAATCATGAATTATTTTGAATAAATATATAGAAATTAAATGAAGAATTCTTCATATATACATAATCTATGAACAGCAGCAAATATCCCCCTTTATAGTGTGTACTTGATTTTGTTGTTTTATTACAAACATGTATCATCATTACTCTTATCATAATCAATAGTAGAAATAGTAATAGTAGTAGTAATTGTTGTTGTGGTTGTAGTTGAAGAAGAAATAGAAGACGAAGGAAACAAGGGGGAAAACCTTAGCTTTTATTCGGGTTTAACACTAGTACAGTATCATTGAACATACAAGAATAAATGTACAGACACTCACCATCACATCTCATATCAGGCGCGTACCCCCCCCCCCCCCCCCCCCGAACGTCACCAAATATTCGGCCAGCGAGGTAGTCAATTTTCATTAATTTAAATAAACTTTAAACGCTACATAATGATAAATAATGCAAAGACATTGATCTCTCCCTTTCCCTCTCTCTCTCTCCCTTGCACAGGCAATATCCAGTTAGGCTCTTTGGCCAATGGAGCTGGGGCCCTTGGGTACTGCAGAGGATACCATTTCTTAGTTTTTAAAAATCGTTTCTGAAGTTGATTCGAGAAGGGATGATAGCTCTAGGCAATTTCTGCTCGTGAGCCCATGTTTTTTTACTTCCTAAAATAATGGTTACAATATATTTTCATGTTTTGTTGTGGGATTTAAAGGGGAAGATAATGATAATTGTTGCTTTTGCTCAATGCTTAGTTTCCCATGTTGGTCCAATAACAGTCACATCATCAAATTTGCGAAAATGGCCGACATTCTGCCATCAATTTGTTTGGAAAATTATAGATACACATATATCTAATAAGCCTGGGATTGTATACACAGTTGGCCATTATTTAATGTGTCTTACATGAATCAACCTTTGTTCCCTCATCCGACTGTCTTCGGAGTGACTTATAAACGGTCTCGTCTGCCATCACATCCGATCTCAAAGCCTCGTTGGTTTGCGCAAAAAAGTTTGCCAGAGAGTCCATCATTTTTTCAACACGGTTTTCTAGCATGTACATTTTACGAAACATGATATCTTGCTTGTTGCTAGCCGTTGAATCTGTTCGATTTCTTTCCTGAAACACTGGAGCTGATGTTGGAGAGAAAGTCACATTCGGACTGCCACCACCACCACCACCGTGCGGGTCCAGGTGTTTCATCCTTTCCATCACCTCAAAGCGAAAGCTAGAGATGTCATTTTTGATTTCTTCTAGTTCACCTGTTAAATAGAGAACAAACAAATTTGTTGTTAAGTAGCCATGTTTATTCATTTATTACACATATTTTTTTTAAAGGGTAGCCCAATCAGCAAATGAATACTGGTTTTAATTGGGGCCCTTCATAATACAAACACGTATGTACATTTCAACAAATTAATATATATATATAGATATAGAAAATTATAAAATACGACTTTAAATAATTGCAAACCAGGTTATGAATAAACGGCTTTGAACATATACATTAATTAAATGAGTAATATGTAAATGATAAAAGTATATAATTGCCGTATATCAAAGGTGAAGCAAACGGTAAAAAAGAGAGAGAGAGAGAGAGAGAGAGAGAGAGAGAAAAAAAAAAACAATGTGACATAGGCCTAGGTTAGAAGTAAAAGCCCCTCTAAAGTGTTGGAAGCCCCAACAATTTGATGGCAACATTTCACTTAAATTGTATCGGAATGTGAAAGAGAATGTCATTTAAGACACATTTCTGTGCGGATTTTAAAAACAAATTTGTTTGAAGTCGAATATTGATGAAAGAATACAAAAATTAGATTTTCTGCGTACATCAGAAATCCCAAATTATGTATTCTTATATAAATGTTTTTCTTCAAAAACTTTTCTTTTGAGGAAAAATCTTTGCAGAAGTATGTTTTAAATGACATCCTCTTTCACATTATGATACAATTTAAGTAAATTTTGCCATCAATTTTTTTTGCCAACACTTTAGAAGGGTTTTAACCTCTTTCGTAGTATGTTCTAAGCTATATTGTATACACTATGTATGTGTTGGTCACTGATGGTGAGCGTCCCTGATGAACTCTATGATCAATGATCTTGCTGGAGACTAAAACACTTATTCTCTTTTTTCATAGCTTACATGTTCTGTCATAAATTCAGACGTATGTGTTCAAAATGTTCTGATATCACCAGTGATTATACAGGGAACTTATAATGCTTAAATAGTACACAGGTAATATTTGTCCTATATCAGTGTTATTTGTAACGAAATCCATATGACTAGACTCACCTTCTGCTCCTTCTTCACCCTCTTTATCGTTCTGGAGTTTGAAGAGGTACCTCTTGATAACTGTCTTCATAAGGCTCTGCATTTTCATTAAAAGAAAAAGAATGTTTATTTACATTCCGTTCGGCATAGTATAATGTCTATCTGATGGTCCAATGTACTAAGCAGTAGGAAGCATTAGACCCCCCCCCCTCCCCCCCCCCCCCCCCCCCCCCCCCCCCCCCCCTCCTGCGTGAAAAAAATTAACCTCGCTATAGTTTACCCCAGATTCATTGTATGAAAGACAAACAAATCAAAATAAGATAGGCCGCCCTAGTTATTGTGACAGCAGGTAACTTTTTGCGTTTTTTTGTTCTGAACGAGCAAAAAAGATTTTCTATAACTCTCTAGTGTACTGAGGGGGTGCAAACACATGTAAACGTTGAGTAGTCATGAAATCAAATTGCATTTTAACTGTGGTATATAATAATGTTTGAAAACGTACTTACTTCATGAGTGCTCACTTGTTTGCGGATTCCGGGTCGCCTTGGCAATTGCTGTAAATCCTAAACATAATAAGAAATCATTTTACACAGCCATTACTCAGATATAATATAATTAACAGTGGAAAAGGGGGAAATATCAGAAATATTTATATATGGATAAAAACGAATTGAAAATTTTAGTGAAGTATTATAAATGTCAAATTTTGACAGAAAAAAAGTTATCATTCTTTATGTTTTTTACTCCGCTCTTGACCTTGATTCAGAAATGACGTTCAATATACATGCAGTGCGTATTAACTAAAAAGTGTACCCAACTTTGGTAGCTCCTAATTGAAAGTCATAACTAATATGACTTTGAAATCTATTTCATGATGAAGAATAACTTGTTATCTGTCAAATAATGTCGAAATTATCCGTGGCAGCACAATTATGAATATGGTATCATTAGACAGGGTATCAGCCATCCTTAATCATGAAATATAATTTAAGGTCACATAGGTTACAACTTTTTTTATTAGAAGCTATCAAAGTTGGGTACACTTTTTGTATACGCACTGTATACATGTCCATAGAGAAAACATAATGTCTTCAACTTCAATGTTTTGTTTAATGATATTAATTGTTAACTTTAAAAACCTATTTCGACACTGCATCGTCCACCTTAACTGAGGCAGTATATTTAATTCAATTCAAGTTTGATTAGAAACCACAATTTTGGACTGTCTTCAATATGCATGTAGTGGTATCGTGGTGTGGGGGAGGTGTCCGATGTTTGTTTGTTTTTCCTGGAATCTGTCGTGTGTACATGCTTTCAAGAAAGTTGCAATAATAAAATGTGTATCAACTTATAACCGGTACCTGTGTCATAGTAATATTCTTTTTGCCGCAGTTAGGGCAGAGGGTTTTCTTTAACCACTTGAAGAAGTAGTAGATAGACTTGGGACTAGGAATAATATTCATAGGAAGAGGCAGAGTAGCACCCCGTTCAAAATATGACATCCAAAGCTGAGAGCGTGCAAACTTCCATTCAACATCTTCATCATCCTAAAACAGATCAGAAGAGAGAGAGGAAGAGTGGTGATTTATTTCTTTTTGTATTATTCATATATCACTATAAACCAAAATAGGTATTTTCTTCGACAGTGCATAGACATAAATTTCTAGAATAAAAGGAGAAAGAACGTTTTAACAAAAAACGTTTTCATGTCAAACGACAACCTTGAATTAGCCTTATACAGTATTCTGTACACAAGTAGACCGCATTATGAGTATAGTTCTCCATAATTTCAATAATTATAAGGCAATACATTAATAAGCACCCTGAAGTACTAAATATATAGGCTAAATAAATGAGCTTTATTTTTTGAAACTGTGGTTGAAAAATATAATCGACTTACAAAAAAAAACTACTTTTACATAGTATTAAGACACGTAAGTCTGTGAATAGAAATCAGGGAGTGTTTATTATCGACTAAAGCGATTTTCCGACACATATGCGACTTTGGCTTAAAAAATTTGGCTGTAATTGAAACTTACGTGGATCTCTTGAAAAGAGGTTGACATCATGGCAATAAGCATATTGAGCATGACTAATGCCATGACTAAATGATAGGCCATGTATAAACAAACACCGACTAACTCAGTGGTCTTCTGACCACATGACTCCTGATCACATGGGGCATCACTAGGATAAGAAACGTCTGCAGCATCACTGAGACCGAAGAGAGCCCAGATTAATGTCTGGATGGCGTTCACATACCTATTAACATGAGACACAAGAGAAAGATTCATCAGACTCCGGTCATTAAAGGATCCCAACGATCTCTATGAAAAGGAAAGAAAAACGGCTTAAACTATTCTGATATCAAACGGACCAAGTTATGCTCGGATTTACTAACTTATTTTGACGTGAATTAGTCGATGATGGTTCTGAAATCATTTTCTGACTCTAATTTTGTTTGAAGATTGAATTCGTCTTGTTATTTGTGACGGACATTGTTATATAGAAAGAAACAATAGTATTAAGAACGTCATAATAACAGCGATTTCTAGTTTTTATATCATTACCCTCTAAAGTTTGATTCTTGTGGGTAGTTTCGGTAGAGATTGGTGAGAGCGCAGAAAAAGGCCAAGAAGACGACGATGAAGACAGAGAAGAACCGAAGAATCTGACCAACCATCTTCTGAAGTGAGATATTGAGAGGGCCAAGGAATTCATTGACGGGTAGGATGTACAGGAGACGAGAGAAACTCAACACGTTTGCAATAGCGTACAGTGCTTCGGCGATTAGTGTTGGGTCGTACTGGTCCCAAAGCGTTCGGTCTATAACATAACAGATAGGTCATTAATTTTATGATAACATCATTCACGTTGAATATTAACAACGACAATAAAGAAAGAGATGTAATTTGATATTATGAATTGGTAAAATTCTAGTTTTCTGTTTAAGGGGGTGGGGGTACCTACAACAGGCGCACTGACAATGTTGCAGCTTTTGGGTTAAATCCATGGGAGGGCCTCAACTTGAAAATGTTTAAGAGCATTATTGAAGAAAGAAACAAAACTGGTTTATACCTTCACCTCACTTCCCCGTCTAAGCTACGTATGACAGAGGCAGTGGACCCGGGGAGCACAGTGCGTGCCCCACCCATTTTTCAAGTACAGGTGTACCCCTAAATTGCCCCTTTTTACATAGAAAACGAAAACTTTTACTACAGATAAGTGTCTCTTTTTATTTCTTGTAGCTGCCCGTTCCACAATCTAATAAGTGCCCCTTAGCACTTTTGATAAGTTCCCCCTTCACCAATGATAATTGTCCCTTTTCACCGTTTCTGATGATTTCCCCTTTTTACTCTGACACGTGCGCCTTTTCTTTTCTTTCACCATAAATTGTGCTCCTGGGTTTTCTTTAATTTCACTCAAAGCTCGCACTTAACTATAATCATGTTGTTAACTACAGGTCTTGTCAGTCTTTTATGATAGGATTGCGCTTAAAACCATATTAGGATTGCTGTTATTTCCTCTTCATAAGATGTAATTTTTTCGCACTGCGACCTCACAAATCTTGAAATTTTGCTCGCTCACTCGCAAATGAATATTTAGTCCATCACACCCAACTGCAAAGTATGATGCGCCGTAGAAGTCTCTTGGGTTATGTAAAGAGAGAAACAATATTAAAATCATCCTTTATAATGTAATCACAAGATATAGGGGTATAAACCAATGTAAACAAAATATTAATCTGATTTTTCCCTTTGCAGGTGCCCCTTTTTCCAGAAAGTGCCCTTTTTGTGGGTCCCCCCTCCCACTGTAAAATACGCTCCTCCGTCCCTGTCGTAAGACGTTTCTATGCCTGTCTTCTCCGAGAAGAGCGTCAAAAGAAAAATGTATTTTTTATAGAATCCTCCAAGCAGACGGATTTTTCTGTCTAGTCAAAACCTAACTATAGAAATTACTGAATCAGTCATTGCAGAGAAGTGATGAAGGTATTAGATTGGTATGTATATCAACATGAACCAACGTATAGCCTATAGTAAGTAACCTCAGACCGGGAAAAGAACTTGGAGAAATGTGAAAATATGTTTCATAAGAATGATGAGGAACCTACGGAGTCATGACAGCATGGACACAAACATTGATTTTAGAGAAGGGTAAGAATAAAGTCATTACACTGAATTGTGAGCTAAGAATTAAGCGTTTGATATTTATGGGTCACTCCCTTAGCAACGGAGGACTAAAGAATCTTGCATTGATATGAAAGATCGAGAAGAAGAAGATGAGAGGAAGGAGAAGCATTCTTTGAATGGATAATCTGCAGAGATGGCTCGAAGATTAATGAATAATAGACCATGGCGTGCTGGCCCGCGTGCTGGTGTTGAAGAAAGCAATAAACTGGTATAGTTTCAGAACAAAATGAAAACCAAACTAAGGCATCTACGGAGGGGGAGATTACCGTCATACATTTGTTTTAGTCAATCCTATACAGTTCATTACTTGTGCTATATCGCAAAGATAACTTAAATGGATCGTGTAAATTTTCATTTCATAGTTTATACTTCTGGTAACCAATTCAAACAATTTAAAGTGACTTGGAGTAGAGTAAATCTGTTTTTTACCTGCTAAGAGCCAGCGGAGATGTTTTGTTGCCTGACCATTTTCATCTTCACATGCATCGACATTTTCATCGAAATATGCCATCGAGTTGGTAACCTTGTAGACCACAATAGCTCGAATGGAGATTGAGGAGATGAGAATGTTGAGCATTGCGATGTCGATCCAGTTCCATAGTGACTGAAGATAAATCTTGTATCCTTCCCGGAAGATCTGCTTGATCTCTGCCCACAACATACCTGTTTTATTTTTTTATCAATTGAAAGGAATATACAAAACTATGAAACTCTTATAAATATATTCATATGAAAAAAAGCGAGGCAAGAGTAGGAAACGTTCAGGAGTAGTCTTCAGAAGTTAATCATGACAGTTTGCTGATAAGAGAGAAGTGGCGAATTAAAAAAAAATTAAAAAATCAAGAAGCGCTTAAATAATTATGGACTGTCACGCAGGCCCATTTGGTCTAAGACAAGGACTATAGATAAACATAAACCGAATCGTGGTTGAAAAGAGAGTCATGGAAAAACCAGTTCTCTGAAACCTCACAAAGACGACGATTAAAATCTAATGGGGTGAAAAACAGTCCTCTCGAAGTCTATAGGTACGGTATCCACCTACCCATTACAAAGACAACGATCAAAATCTGAAGGGGTGAAAAACAGTCAGGTCGGAGTCTAGGTGCGGTATCTTCATGAAATGTCTGGTTGCGAACAGCTTGTGACAGGTAAGTGCAATTCATATGTGATTTAATGAATTCATCCTGATGATCATCATTCCGGAATCCTTTAGAGACCACTGACTCCAAGAAGAGGATGAGTAAGAATGTCACGTACATCGCTGCATGTAACATGAACTTGGTCCTTGGACTTCGCATAAAGTCTCCGACCTATAACAAAGACAGGGATTGTAATAGGTGATACATAGAATAGTTTGAGATAAGATATTACGATCTAAAACTTATAGCATTGGAATTCAGTGTATCACTTTGTTTTGCAATTAACTATCCTGCTTACATTAATTGGACCCTCCCCCATACACACAAATACACACCCACAAACACACACACACACACACACACACGCGCGCGCACACTTTACCGTCAAAAGAAAGCGATTCCAATTAATGTGTAATGATGATGATGTTCACAATAACAAGAAGAAGAAGAAGAAAAGAATGATGAGATATCCTTTTGTTTGGATAACTTTTCACTGCATTAATAAAAAGGAATACTTTTTGCAATTAACAATCTTGCTTACATTAATTGGACCCCCTCCCACATACATGCCCACTATAACGTCAAAAGAATGTGATTCCAATTACAACAATAAATGTTTAAGGATGATGATGTTCACAATAACAAGAAGAAGAAGAAGCCAAGAAAAGGATGATGATGATGATAAAAAGAAGGTCAAAGTAGAATAAAAATACAAAAGAAGATCAAAACAGAAGGAGAAGAAGGATCACATTAACCAAATGAATTGAAGATGACTTGTATCTATTTTCCTGGTCCAATGGCCAATAGGAATCAATGTTTCTTGTTAGAAAATGGTCCTGATTAGGTATGGTTTTAATCGCTGCGTTACTTACTTTGTTAGGGCAGATCCAGTAAGCCAGCGTTAGGAATGGTATAGCAGCAATCATGCATACTGTAGCCAAACATTTGATAAGAGGATGCCATTGACGGGTCTTGGAAGGAAAGCCTTTATACCACAATGTCGATAGGTGATGCTGACAGTGAGGGTGTGCTACGAACTTTTCAAACAATGAATAACAAAAACAATTTTTATCACAATAATTATCCAGTAAACTAAGGTTATTCCAGTTTAAAGTGTGTTAGAAGATCAAACTAAAAGTGTTCAGTAATGTAAAATAAGTAGACTCATATTTTTAAGGCAAATAGACGAGTGTTTAAATGTCAAACGGAATACTTTCTTTTGTCTTCCTGAATACTTACTTGTTTTTGACGAAATTTGATAGCTAGCTCCAACCTCGGGAGGGAAAAGTCCGAGTCGTTTTCAGGCAATATTGGTTTTGCCCCCCTTCTCTTCCGAAGAGTATTGGCGCCTTCTGCAGCAAAGACTTCTCCCTGTGTAGTTGCTTCCTGTTTGAGTATAGTCTGAACCTCTGCAGTCGTCTGACACATATCGAGCAGATCTGAAGCGAATTGTTTGCATCGTTTCACAAGCTCACGGTATTCATTCTGTCAAAGCGAAAACGTTTTTCTTAAACGGTGTCTTGCATGTTAAAACTAATGATAACTATACTCAGGCTGTCACAGCCTACACAAGTCAACCCCTTTTTCTAAACAATGCCTATATTTACCAATTTACATGATTAAGATCCCTCAGTATCCCTATTTAAATGAGCATATCCCTAGGTGTATTTACCTTCGTTGACGTCTTTGTTATCATTCTTTTTAGCATTTTAACAAGTTAGCATTAAGGTGAAAGAGTATACTGCAATGCCAGCTCTAAACTTAGGAGAACAAACAAAAATAAGATATCGCGAGAGGGAAATGAAGTAAAGGAATTCATCAATAGTAATTTATGGTAAGCAAATAAACTCTCGTGTAACATTGGCAGAGTCAAAGATTTTTCAGCTAATATGACACAAACATACCTTGAATTCCTTTTCGATGGAAGCTAATTCTGTGAGTTTTTCACTGAGCAGGAAAGCTGTGAGTATAGGATCATGACTCGTCAAACAGATATACGCCTCACTCCCCAGGGCCTGGTATGTATGCAAACCAGCTAACGACCGTAATAAGGGGTCGTTTTCTGCCATAAACCAGAAAATAAGCAAACTTGATGTGACGTAAAGTTATCATTAAAAATAATCATGTAAGACGAAAGCTTCAATATGATACCCAGAGTAAAATAGTGATGCTTTTAAAATAGTGGACTAAACTATACCGCGCACAGTTATACAGTGCGTCCCAGAAAAAACGAAACCGATAAATATCGATGTTTTATCATAACTTTATCACAATTATAATTAATAAATGATACATATTTGTAAAGCTTAGATCTTCCTCTTTCAGTTGATTTGAAGAGAGGGTACCAAAAAGTCATTTTTAGGGCGGTATGTGAATTTCAAAAAGAAAATAACATTTTTAGAAAATTCATTTTCATTCCCTTTCATATGGCACCTCAATCAGGAAAAAATGACAAAGTTCTGTTGGTTTAAAGTAATGCTTGCATTTCCATAATTTGATTAAACGGATTCGTTTTCACTGGCTGCCTGCCGTAGCAACAAACGGAGTTGACAAAAGACTTAACTCCGTTTCGTTGACGATCAGCCATGCACAAAGAAGACGAAAGACTTTCAAATCTACTCAAGATCGTTTTATGTAACGTAAGCACCCCCCCCCCCCCCCCCCCCCCCACTCCGGGGTCGGAATGACCGCATGCGTGTTACCAACATGTCCGGTAAAGGGGTACTTTTCACGCACCAAAGTCCGGCTCGTAGATACACAAAACTGACTTTAACCACCTTAGGGGGTGCTTTCAAAGGGAGGGAACACGCATATGCATACCCTAAATAACACTGAGTGGGGGGTGTAAGCATCATTGCAATGTTGACGCATCTACATGAGATCGCTGCCGTACGTACCTTAAAGTGAACCGGTAACATTGTTGAAGGTTGATGACTATTTTTTGTATGAAATGCTACTTATTATATTCCTTCTACTGTACTAACCCACTAACATGCAAAAGATCCTGAACAAAATCTCAAATCACAAAGATATTTATTGTTTTCTTGGAAGGCGTCAATGTGTAACTCCCTCTAACAGTATTTCCATGAAAATAAGACATAAAAACAGGGTTTTTTTAAAAAATCTTTCAACACCTATTATGTTTGGAATGGTAAAAGAGCTAAGTCATTGCTTTGGTGACGATTTACATTCACCTAAAATTTAATTTAATAATAATAATACAGTTGGGAAAATTTAGGAATCGATCAGATCAGTTTCCCCCAATTTCTATGATTAATAATGGTCTGTTAGACTCACAATTTCCGATTATCTTTAAGTGTGCATCTAGCATTGAATTCACTTCCTTAGCACCACTTTCTCTCATCTTAACATTGTTACCAAGTCCCTTTTAAGCATCTGTACAATCTTCACACATCTACATAAAATCGTTGTACGTATACCTTCATCATGACTTGTGTGCAATATTTACTCAACTACAAAAGATCAATATACGTCCATTTGGCATCTGTACAATCATTACAAATCTACATAAACTGAATGTTATTACCTTTAGCTTCTGTACAATCTTTACAGCTACAGAAGATAGCGTGTGGTTCTTGAATGTACTCTCCTCGATCAAGTAAGAGCCGGATGATTTCCGCTTCGTTGCACTGTGCAGCAAGCATCAGTGGCGTCAAATCGCGATCAAACTTCGAGTTGTTTTTCGTCAAGTAGAAATGAAATCTATCTTGGCGACCACAGGTACCTGTTGATTTTCGGAAAAGGAGTAATTGAGATAGCTGCATATGTATAATGCATAGTGTCTGTAAGACATCTTACATGATTACATGAAGATATTTAATTCAGTAAGTTCATTTTACATCTTACAAAGAAGCTTAATTAAGAATTGAATAAGTATTCTTTGTGATAGTCAAGGATGAATCGAATAAAGTAAGTAAAAGTATCATGACAGAGATATCTGGCAGAGGGGGCGCTCCGGGCTGCCCCCGTCCCCTCCAGGCACACACTTTTTCACGGTACCCCAAAAAATCCCCTTCAAACATGAAAAAGTGCCCTCTTTTTCATTTTTACCACATTCTTATAATTGCCCCTGACCTCCTTTTTAAGGGCCCCTTCCCCTTCTCATAATTGCCCTTGCTACCTCTGATAAATGCAACTATCAAAATCTGATAGGGTCTCCTTTCCCGTCGATATTGCTGCTTTCCATCCTCATAAGTGCCCCTTTTCACCTGAGATAATCGCCCGTATTTTACACGTGTTTCTATTCTTTTCTAATCAGTGTCCTTTTCCCTTCTGATAAGTGTCCCTTTTTTAAAGAGACTAAAATAAACTTTGTATTTAACTATCCCCCAAAGCTCGCTCACATTTATAGGTGATGTAGATATTATTAATATATTATACTTATTAAAGACCTTTTCAGTCTTTCATGATAATAATACCCCACCAGGATTATTTTTTCCTTATGAGATTTAATTAGTCGCAAACTCGCAATGCGACCTCACAAAATTTCGCTCGATCGTAAATGAATACTCAAACCATCTCACTCAACTGCAAAGTATGATGCAATATCTTGGACCATGTCAAGAGAGAAACAAATATTTAAATCATCCCTGATTATACATTAATCACAAGATAGGGGTATATAGCAATGTCTAAATATTTTCGCGTTCAGGTTTCCCCGCCGCCCCAGATATCGAGTAAGAGATACGAACCTTTCAATTTGACATCAGAAAGAGGATGGTTCAGGATAACTTGAGTAATGCGAAGATATCCCTTGCTAATAGCCAGCATAAGACATTCATGGAGGTGTATTTCATCCATAAGATCGCCAAATTCTTGCACCAAGTATTCCACGATCTCAAAGTGCTCTGCTTCAGTCGCAATCTCGAGTGCCGTGCAATCTTTAAAATCTGTCAACTGCATCAATTTCTTCGGATCACTACTATTCTCCATGATTTCTCGGACCTATGATGGTAGACAAGAAGTACTATTACCAGCAGAAGTTATATAGGAGTAGTTTTAGCAGTCATGGTCGTGATAGTAGTAGTAGTAGTAGTAGTAGTAGTAGTAGTAGTAGTAGTAGTAGTAGTAGTAATAGTAGCATAGTGCTATCATAAGTAGTAGTAGTATATAGTAAAAGAAAAAGAGGTAAAGGTAGTTGTAGTAGTAGCAGTAGTACCCTGTAGTAGTAGTAGTAGTAGTAGTAGTAGTAGTAGTAGTAGTAGTAGTAGTAGTAGTAGTAGTGGTGGTAGTGGTGGTAGTGGTGGTAGTAGTAGTAGTAGTAGTAGTAGTAGTGGTAGTAGTAGTAGTAGTAGTAGTAGTAGTAGTAGTAGTAGTAGTAGTAGTGGTAGTGGCAGTGGTGGTGGTGACTAGTTATTTCTAGTGACGTCAAATAGGAAGGTCAAACTTTTGGAAAAACTTATTGAACGTTCTTGAACTGAGCTTATCAAAAAGCATTCCCGTTCAGTTGCAGGTTTCGTCTTAAAGTTATTTTACATGAGAGAAAAATATGACGTACCTTTGCAAAGTTTCCCAAGGATACAACTCTCAGGAATGATCGATCTTCTTCGGCAAGTTCATGGCTAGCATTAAAAGTCAAATGACGATCACGTGGCTGCTTTGCCTTAGGCATTCTGCTATATCCCGTTAATCTAATGTATAAAGAACAAGGAAATCAAGCAATTAGCGTTCCCTTTTGGCCGTGATCTACAATTATACTCTCTCGTAACAAATTTCGTGTTCCACTTTGCTATGTAATGGTCAGCATTGCGTGAATGAGTAAAATTATTTAATTTAATTACTCATTATTCCTAAGTATCTTTTGAGGTGTTCACACTTGTACAAGCATTGCTTTTTAGTGGACCCCTCTGTTTCCAACATGTATTTCTTACATTTGTATTAAATGCGTATAATGGATTTGTAATGTTTTGTTGGAGACCTGAATAAATTGAATTGAATTGAATGTTGGACACTATAGGGGATCGTCGTTGAATGCTGATTTAATCGATTTACTGTAGTTACGAAGGCCATGGGTATCAAGCCCTGGAGCTGCATTACATGGCCTGAGACAAGACATTTATGAATTTCTTCCTGGGAGACTGAGAACTTGGCAGATTACAGGCGCGTAGCCAGGGGGGCGGTGGGGGCGGTCGCCCCCCCCCCCAAACAAAAGAGAGAGAGAAAGAGAAGAAAAAAGGTAAGAGGACGTAGGAAGAAAAAGGGAAAGGGAGTCGAGAACAGTACAACGAATCGTCTTCTTTTTCTAATAATTTAATGAAACGTCAAAGCTTCCGCAGTTCGCGCGTAAAGGGGGAAATTGAGTTCAAATTAAGGATTAAGAGTCGAGAACGGAACAACGAATCGTCTAAATTTCTCTAATAATTTAATGAAACGTCAAAACTTCCGCGCTTCGAAAGAGGGGGACTGAATACAGATAAGGATTAAGGGTCGGGAAAGGTACAACGAATCGTCTTCTTTTTGTCTAATAATACGTCAAAGTTCCGCGATATGCGCAGGAGGGGCGGACTGAATTCAGACAAGGATTATGAGTCGAGAAAGATTCTTTCAAAGCTTCCGCTTCCGCGGGAAAACTCCCCCCTCCCTGCACCCACCCCCTAGGGGTGCTCATTACCGCCCCCCCCCCCCCTAAAATGAAATCCTGGCTACGCGCTTGTGGCAGAATGCCCATGTCATGTTCAGTATAAATTAAAATATGAAATGTTTATACCACAGAAGGTTGTTATATATCTTTCGGTTTTCAAAATTGTTATTCTTATGATTTTCGAATCACATCATGCTTACTTTCAAAAAGTAGATAGAGTTGCATTATATCAAAATTATGACTCTAATTTTGTTGACATTATTATGTAATATTTTCTTCAAATTAGTTCATTGCTTTTCATAAAGCCTCTTGTTGATTCTTATTTCAAAGTGCATGTATTTATTCATTTTGTTCGTGCATGATACGAGTTTTCCAACAAATTTTACATAATTCAAATTTTACGAATTGTCCACACCTTTTTGACAAAATGGAATTTCATATTTGCCATAGGATTATTCAATCAAAAATTCTATTTGGTCATTCAGAGTGTTTTTTCATTTTATTTTCTATTTGGAAGCTACGTAAACTATTCCATGCTTTAAATTTTCAATTTCAATTTCAACAGGAACTGTTTCTATCTTGGATTTAGCAAACTGATTCAATTCGATGCGAGTTAATTCGACACGTTCCAGCAAAAAGCTCCATCCTTATTGTACTTTGTTTTTCACGTTTTCCCTGTTCGTTACCCCTTTTCTTTTCTCATACACAAGTTATCCCATTCCTTGAAGATATAATATTACTTGTGTTGCCTTAAATTTCAGATCCGGGTCATCATGTTCTTGTCTGCATGCTGGGAATCGATCATAGCGGGCTCTTACCTGGAATGCGAGTTGACGGATCAACTGAGATGGGGACTTTTTACGACATTTTATGAAAAGATCATTATGGTCATTGTTATCATTAAAATCTCTGGAGAAGTTCGAATGTATTTGAATATAATGATACACATGTTCAAATGATATTTTCGATTAATTATCAATACTAACGGTATTTCTGACATGTCTCAAATTTTAGCTCATTGGAGACCTTCATTTTGTTCTCATTGTTCTGTTTTCTGCACGCGTTAGCTATTTGTTCCTTCCATTGAAAAAAACAAAACATGTAATACCGTTCTGTGTATAATTTTAAGTTTATAGCTCATCTGATTTTAAGTTTTCCTTGAAATTATGTATTGAAACATCACATCGTGAAATATTTAAAATGTTATCACACCCATCTTCCTCGCTTGATTCCATGGCAGAGAATGGTATGTTTAAAATAAATGGGTCAACAAAGTTGTTGTTTTGGAAAAGAATGACCGAATGATATTTCTAAAAAAAGAAGGAGGGATGTAATAAAGGATTCGTAACTATGAAAAGAACAGAATATTGCTTAGAAAGTCAAGAATAGAACCTTATTCACGTTAAACCAACTGGACCAAATTTCTTTGTGTTTGTAGGATAGAAGAGTAACCTGGAAAGTTCAAATACTACTATCCACTAACAATTTACACCTCCCTCGATCTCACACTGTTTTTGCAAAGCAAGTAATTGCATCACAGGAAAGAATTTCTTTGTAAGCAACATTTATCAGCTTGTGTGATTCATAATCATGATGTCTTGATGTAAATGGAGAACAAGTATATACGTCAAACATTAAACTTATACTATTGCTTGTCAACTATACACTTCAGGAGGTCTATCAAAATGAATAATGCTTTCGATACTTTTTCCTGTAATTGAACATCAGGTGCTATAAGACTTTTTTTTTAAAGATGTTGCGTTGCCCAAAATCCTGAAATTTACGGTCGGCTTTTTTTTTTTTTTTTTTTTTTAAGTTTTCTAGAGAAAAAAATGTATAAAAGTAATCAAAACTGAAAAATATTAGCCCAAAGATTTCCGACCGACCGATCCATGTTATGGCACCTAAAGGGTAACACAACACCTGTTTTAAGGCTCATGGAGTGATATGGAGTATAGACTGACGAACATTGACTTACCCTTTCAACTTTGACCGAACTACAGAATCTCATATAATGTGCACTTTATTCCACAATCTTCTTCGTTCATAAACTGTTCATTCCTTCATTGCTCACTAAGTAGAAAGGTGATGTTGTTGAGGAGAGTCATTCCGTGCAGTCAGTATAACTGTAACCTTTAAAATTAAGATTGGCGTACATACGAATCGTTTATTTGCATGTAAAATGATCAGTCCATAGATATTACGTTGAGACGATATAATGATGCAGCGTCAAATAAGGCTATTTCAACATGTTGTATTTTGGGGCAATTCTCTCTTTTCTCCCTCTCAAAGTGCAGGTAGTTTCACGTTTCTCTGTCCTACTTCCATAAAGTGATTAATTGGTCGTATGTTAGTGGGAAAGGATACTTATTTACGACTTTGCTATACCAGCACAAGTTTGCTATCAATCTTGTGTATGAAGGCGAGGCTGTGTATGCCCACTTCTATTCATAAACTTGAAACTAACATTTGTCTCTGTTTTCCTCTACAGTGAACAGCATACTTTAAATCCCTAAATATAAATATGCATCCTTGTTGATAGAAGTGTTGTATTGTGTAATATGTGGCTTCATGGTGAGCCTTTTTGATGTACTAATCGCTGAGAATTGCTTTGCAATATCATGGTAGTGTCTGCATATGCGCCATTCCATGATAGTAACAACAATCCTAGACAGCAGACTAAAAGATACAAGCACAAGAAAACCATAGTTTGTCAAGAGAAAATAGAAATAGGGGGGAGAAGGAAAAAATCAAAAGAAATGAAAAGGGGGAAAGATAAATTAAACGGAGAGGGACGGGTAGGGAGAGAGATGATGAGAGAGTCAATAGAGAGAAGAGAGAGAGAGAGGGAGAGAGAGTGAGAAACGAATGAGAAGGGGGGGAGAGAGAGAGGAAAAAAAAGAACGAGAAGGGGGGGGGATGATAATAGAAAAGGTGAAACGGAAAGAGAAAAAGGAAACCGAGAAGAATTGTATATATATAATGTTTTGAGAGGGGTGCATTTACATGATTGTCTAGATGTGTGTGTCTATCTGTATACTAAGAGATGAGTAAATTAACAAATGGCACTAACTAGATTGCACATCATACTCGCGCACACGCACGCACAAACACAAGCACGCACACACACAAGCACACACACACACACACACACGCGCGCGCGCACACGTTCACGTCTATAATATTTCCATCAGTGTGGAAACAATGGATCCGGAATGGAGAAGTAACATGATATTAGTCTGTTAGCGGGGATTGTCTCTAAGTGCGAGGTTATACCCTATCCCCACGTATCCGACCTATAAATATATACACCGTCGTAATACTTATGTTTAGCTATATGATGAACCTACTATTTATTGAATCAATTTAAAGTGAACTGGTAACATTGTTGAAGGTTGATGAAGAAACTGCCTAATTATTGTATGAAATGTTACTTTTTTTGGCCTTTTCTACTGTACTAACCAAAAAGAACAAAGATATTTATAGTTTAAGGCGTCAATGTGTAACTCCCTCTATTAGTAGAATTCTCCCAACCAATTTTTCAATTTATTCCAACCGTTTTCCATGAAAATAAGACATAAAACAGGCTTTTTAAAATCTTTCAATTACTAAATGTTTTGAATTATACATAGAGCCTATTAATTGCTTTGTAACGATTTGCATTCATCTAAAATTTAATTAAATTGTAATAATAGAGTTGGGAGAATTCAGGAATTGATCAGATCTTCTCTATTGGCATTAAATTAGTCTGTTTTCACTCAAACTTTCAGATTATCTTTAATTGTACGTTTAGTATTAAAATACCTTAGCACCATTTTCTCTCATCTGAACAATGCTCCCAAGTCCCGTTAGGGATTCTAGAGTACCATTAAAATTTAAAAAAACTGGTGATAAATCAAAGAACATAGTGAGTCATTTTAGTATTTCTCTCAAAGTATATTTTAACCAACCGCCCTCAGATTTACACAAGGCAAACTTTACTTTATTGCAGTGCATGAAAAATGATACTTTTATTACATCTTTTTAATTATTTAGTTTCCAAGCAATTTGTAATAGATGCAGAAGCGAATCCAGGGGGTGGCCGAGCAGGCCTTGCCCCCCCCCCCCCCCAAAAAAAGGAGCCTAGAGAGAGATAAGGGAGAGGGGAAGGGAAAGAGGAGAGAAGAAAAGAAAGAAGAGGAAAAAGAAAAAGAAAAGAAAAGGGGAGAAGGAGATCGGGGGCCGAAAAGCCCTTGCCTCCCCCCCCCCCCCCCCCCTCTCCCCCAGTAAAAAAAATAGAGAAGGAAGGAAAGGGGGGAAATGAAAAGAGGAGATAGGAAGGATATCAAGAGGAAGAAGAAAACAAAAGAAGGGGATATCAGTTGCGATTTTCCCGCCAACAAGTTTTGGATCGTGGGTGCCAAAAGGCCCTTCCCAATATTTTTTTTTCAAGGAAATGTTGTTGCATATTTCTAATATCGTAATATACAATTTTTACATTGAATGTATCAAAATAATCACCAAGGAATGAACATAATATTTAGATGACCATGAATGATTCTGTAACCATTAATGACGGTTATGACTGGTTCGTGACACTGTTAATAAATATCATGAATGAATCAAAACAATGTTTAGATAAATAATATTTCCCCCTATTTTCAACAGACAGGGGAAATAGCCAGGCTAGCGTGTACAAAAATGCGCCCCGGGCCTCCTATCTGGTGATAACGCCCTTATGATTATCCCTCTCAGTCCCCTCCCTGCTGGTCGTTAACCTTCATATAATGCCACCTCCCCCCCCCCCCCCCCCCCTCCCCATCACCCACTGGTCATAACAAGAAATCTCCACCATTGGCTAGATCACTGATTATAATGGAGAGGCAATTAGTCTCGTATTACTTCACCGATATAAAGCACTCAATGCAGCACACTCTATATTTGATTGTTTCATTCACTTTTATTTCACTGGAAATAAATTGGTGACCGATGCAGAACTTTCCGTAACTTGTGTTGTCAGCCCTTAATTAAATCCACCAATCCAGTATTCTGTCGTGGACTCTCGAGGGGGGGGTAAGGTCACCTTTTTTAGGTCAGGCATTGGTTGTTGTTTTTTTAATAAAAAAATTAATAAAATAAAAAATACGAAAGGGGAGGGGGTTTCCTCCAAAATACACACATAAAAAATACCACCCATCCCCCCCCCCCCCCCCCCTGCGTACGCGCCTGCCGATTTACATACACTTATCTCGTGATCGAAGAATAAGAACTTGAATTCCTTTATACGGAATAGAGCTCCAAGTGTTTGAATGACATCATGTGAATATCCCTGGATAATATGGATTTAAGAACATTAATAAAGAAATGTGGGGAGGGGGTATGAAGCTTATTTATTATTCCTGAAAACATGTTCATAAATATTTTCAAAAATTAAACTTGAGGCTATTTGTAAAGCTTTGTACATCACCTTGTTCGGCAACTATTAGGATTAGGATTCCGTAATCCCTGCAGAAATGTATAACCATTACATTGAGCTAGTATAGGTTTATTTAATCCGAATATGCCTATATGATTTCGTATATAATAATTTAATTATCCCTTGAGTTGATTTCTCGAAAGATTTTGCAACCGTATTTGTGGTAAACATAAAGACTGCATGTAGATATCATTCACAGTAAATATTGAAACAAAATATCAATCCCGGACAGACCCCCCCTGTATTATATCAAGCCCGGACAACTACCCACTGTATTATATCAATCCTGGACAACTAACTCTTGTGTTATATCAACCCCGGACAACTACTACCTGTATTATATCAACCCCGGACAATTACTCCCTGTACTATATCAACCCCGGACAACTACCTCCTGTATCAATCCTGGGCAACTCTACGCAGGTAACTAAGCCTTGGACAACTATACCCTCAATAATATATCAATCCCTGAAAACTGCCCTTAGGAGAGGAAACCTTGGACAACTATCAGTTTGCCTAGGGGTCCGGGAACAGTTATCCGGGGTAGTTGTCCTGGTGATATTCCAGGGGATATAATCATCTTGACAGAGAAATATATGTACATAAAGAATTTCACAAAATAGACTAAAATCTGAAAAGGAACTTTCAAGGTTTAAAAAAAACTCTGGCTTACAGTATATTCTAGTCGTTTTGAGTGCAAAACTGAAGGAAAAAATGTATAAATATACTATGATTCATTAATAAACATGCATCACGATAACAGCCTTGTCCATTAGTTATTAGGAAAAAAGAACATGGCAAAAGTACAGAGACTAAAATTGTCATATTTACAGTAAAAATACATGTACAAGAAAAAAAACCAAAAATAAGGTTAAAACGTGTACAATAAGCAACCTAGTGAACATTTTGGCCTCATAATATTTTTATAAAATAATTTTTAGGGTTGAAACCACAACTTATGATTATCTGAATTGATACAATTATGTTGCTGGTATGTCTACTATATTGAATTTCTTCGGGGTGAGATATATAGTTACCGTCTTTTTCAAGCCTGTGAATTCAACAATTTTCCTGCAAGCTTGATCTTGAACGCACTGTTCGTTGGGTTCTACACATATGAAGCGCGCCCCCTTTGGTAAGCTCCTTGCAGCGTTAATAAAACAAATAACAAACAAATTGATGGACCCCTTTGAAGACCAGCTTTTAGCTGAAAAGGGTGAACCTTCCCATTTGTGGAAAATAGATAAATAAATATTAACAGCCGAGTAACCGACGAAAGTTCCAAGTTCAAGACACGTCTTTGGTTGCCTTTCTTCGATAATATCTCGAATGATTTGTCCTTGTTATTCAAAAGAGAAAATAAACTAGCCTACATGACATCAATCATGAAATATAAAGGATGGTGATAACATTTGCCTTTGGATCAAAATCATGAATAGGATACCGTTTATGCATTAAATCTCTAAATATATTAAATAAAATTGGCAATTATAAAAATTTACAAAGTTAGAAAGTTAAAAAATATGTTGTGGAATGTTTTACCTTTGGCAGGTCCAAGGAACCCATTGCTGTTCGTGAAACGATCAAAAGCAGTCATCACACATCAGTGATATACTTTACCGCTCGGGAAGTGGACCATATTGTTCCATATTTTCCAACAAATATAGACAGACATCTAAAATAAATAGTATAAAAATATATACATGAAGTATCAGCACGTCTCAATGATACTCAATTCGAATGTGAGGAACCTATTGAAAAGCAGTGCTTGTGTATTATAGGTTTCTAATAAAATAGACATTGTATATGAAGAACAGTAGCAGTTGATAAAAACATAATTTAGACTGAGAATTTAAAACAAAATGGAATTAGGAAATTTGTATACAAATGCTTTAGCACAAATACCTAGAGTCACCAGGTTAAAATGCGTAGTCACCCGAGCATTTTAGTGTTCTTCACTGTATGAAGATCTGCAAAACTTTCTACAATTTGTTGTGGTGAACGAATTTCAGGAATCACATTTTGGAAACCTCCTTCTCCAATATGTGATTATTCGGGTATCTATATAACTACACAAGATTAATATATTTGGGCACTCCTCTGCCCGAAAAGTATGTGTTCGGACACTTTGCTGCCCGAAGACTATAGTTATCGGAACTGTAAAACTCTCAGGGGAGCTGACAAGAATGAGCTGTTTTAAAAACCTTATTCATGTGCAACGCTCTTGGTCTTAAGCTACTACCACACAAGTTATTTGGTATATACGTTTTTCTCTGAAAGAATGGACATACAAAACTATAAAGAAATTAGGCACCAATTTCTGTTGATGTACAAGGTGGGCATTGCAAATCATGTACTACATTTGCGTCAAATCTGTCTTTATTAACTGGTAATCTACCGGTATGTGTTTCCTTCTGACATAATTATGTAGGTATAGAATAGAATATTTGTCGACTCTTGCGGGATATGAGAGTACAACACATTTACATGTCATGATAATGATACATAAATAATAACACAAACATAGCATAATAATACCAAGAATACAGAATACAACAAAACAAAATACAAATGTATAATGATAAATAAGAGGGTCATGCAGGCACGTAGCCAGAGTTTGATGTTTGGGGGGCACATACATGTAATCGATCGAGGTAAAAAAAAGGGGGGGGGGTCTAAAAAAGTTCAACCGAGCACGTCCCCCCCCCCCTCCCCCCGTGGCTACGTGCCTGGGGTCATGTACTTTTATGTGTTCCGAATTCATTCAGAAATGAATATCTAGTTGAGAATAGCAATCAAATCCACGGTTAAAACATGTTTTGTTAGGTTTCATTGAAAAAAGAAATGATGCTTTTAACTGTATAATAATTTGGACTAAACAACAATTATATTTTTCTCGAATACAAAAGTCTGTGCCGTCCTTTTGGACAATAAAACAATATATCAAGAATAGTTACACAAAATGAGAGGCAAGTTAGTATATTTGCTAACAAAACTGACAAATTTGATAAAAAATGGATAAATTTTGAGAGGATTTTGATCCTTTTATAGGAGTATATTGAATTTCCCACATCATTTTCAGTCATGATGTTGCATTATTATTTAATTTTTGTTTTTCTTTCCCTAATCTACATGTATGTTCTTTATATACAGTATTATGGTTGATATTCGTTATGTATATCTTATTATGAAATATTATATGATATTCATTGGAACATGACTGTGTTCAAATATGTTATCTTGAGATTGATTTTCAATAAATGGCCTGTTGGAGGGTCCAAAAAATGGAGAAAAAAAAAGAGAAAAAAAGATCCACGGTTAAAACAGCGCCATCTCTTTCTTGACGGTTAGAAAGTCTGGAAACTGTTGTCAACAGCATTTGTCGTTGTCACCCGTTCCCAAAGTTTGAGTTCAGTTCGGTTCAAGTTTCAGCTTATTCCACGAAACGGAGTTCCATTCCAACTCCCTGAAATGAAACATGAATTATAGTACACATGTGTATTACATAATATGAGAAGAATAATCCTGATTTATTAATCTTCAAACAAATATGTTATACCTTGGATTCTTCTCTTTTTTTCTAAAAACTTTGTATAGGTCTAAAATGTTTCAAACAGTTACAATTTTTACCCTTGAGAAATGTCCTAACTTTTGCTTAATTCATTTACAGCAATTAACCGTAAAGAGTTGTCCAACATGTAAGTCGTTGAATTCGATTTTAAAGTTCCCCCTCAAAACATTTGGTAAGCATAAAGTCGACAGATTAATTTTCTGCACTCTTTTCTGGAGTTCCTCCCCCCCCCCCCTCCCCCGCCCCCCCCCCCCTCCCCCCCCCCTCCCCCCCCCCCCCCCCCCTCAACCAAACATTCCTTTATCCCTCTTCTACCCCCTTCCTCCATTCCCGTACAGATCCTTTTTCTTTTTAATGTTTACAAGTTACATGTACACCACCATTTAGGCGGGCATTGAACTTGTGAAAAGACAATAATTCCACGGAGTTCTAACTCCCTGGTAATACAGTTTTACAGCTAATTCGGCAGGCCTACCGGTATTACCCCACCCATGGATCAGTGAATCCCTGCAAAGTCTGCGCTCGTTTAGTGTGTGCTGGCCGCGCCGCACTAGCGCCATATCGCGATCGCTATATCCACAGACTGTGACTCTGACATGACCCGTAATACAATTTACACTATACACAGTGCATACAATGCTTGCAAGGATGGAGACTCCGACCAACATGGCGACTTACATGATGCGACTGGAATGTCCACCGTAGTATATCTTTCTGGATGATAATTTTCTTCAGCAACAACATTAAAGTGCCGCCTGAATTACCGGCTAGTGCCTGAGGGCCGGTAAGAGTCATGCAAGCCCGCAAACGTTATATTTTAGTACTTTTTACAGGGTTGTTACTCCTGCTGCTTTACTATGGGGGATTGCACATGCTACACGGGCCGCAAAGGGAACAAGCCACCTTGGCTGCCCGGCTACGATCAATTGAAGACCAGTCAGAAACGAACTATGAGCGTGATGGACAAACATCAAGCTTACATGTCAGTTCTGCACAAGACAAGGATCAGAAGTGCCGGATGGAGACATGCTTTGATTTTTCGAAATGTAAAGAAGGCTTTAAAGTGTATATTTATCCAGTATCCTATCAAAAACCTAGCCAGTTGTACAGTGACATTTTAACTTCCATCCGTGCGTCGAGATACTTCACAACTAATGCAGATGAAGCGTGTTTGTTTGTGACTTCAATAGACACCCTAGACAGGGACAAACTCTCATCCACCTATGTCAAAAACATAGAAAGCAGTATATCAAAGTTAAGTCATTGGAATAATGGCAAAAACCACCTGATTTTTAATCTGTATTCTGGGACGTGGCCTGACTACTCAGAAGATTTAGGGTTTAATATAGGAGAAGCAATCCTGGCAAAAGCAAGTTTCTCAGAACAGTACTTTAGGCCTAACTTTGACATATCACTGCCGCTGTTTGCCAAAACTCATCCTCAGAAAGGAGGCAATTCAGGGGACCTCCAGGGAAATAATTTTCCAGTACAAAGAAAGTATTTATTAGCATTTAAAGGAAAGCGTTATTTATTTGGAATAGGATCAGATACAAGAAACGCTCTTTATCACTTGCACAATGGAGTGGATATCATACTTCTCACAACATGTAAACATGGGAAAAACTGGCAGAAGCATAAAGATGTACGCTGTGACCATGATAATGCAGAGTTCGACAAGTAAGTAATTTTTTCTTGATTTTGTGCCAGTCCAAGACACGAGCCTTGCAAATTAAAAATTAATATAGCAAAAAGATAGACTTTAAAATTTAAAGTTGAAGAGCTATAATTATGAAGAAGGTAGTATTTCTTACACTGATGTCCATCAATCTTTCTTTTTTTTAATGGAATACATGTAGCAACACATTCACAATTCTGAGCTGCTGGAATTGTATTTTCTGTGTTTTTTTCTGCTATAAAATGGAGTACATGTAACTGTATTTTCTATTTAACAAATTTTGATGTTTTCCTCCTCAATCCTGTCTAGAAAACGTGTCCATAGTTGGACACTCAACAGTGTATTCAAATAATTCAAATGGTTTCTTTGAAGCCTTTTCAAGGGATATACAATGTATATTTTAAATGTTTGTCATCTGCTCATACAATATATTTAACTCCCGAAAAGAACAAGTCAATATGATTTTTTTTTTCTGACATTAATATTATCAGGGTCCCTGTACCTTGAATACCAAAGCTTCTGGAAGAAAGCCGTCTCCAGCTGCCAAGCTTCCAGGTCTTACTTCAAGGGGACTTCAAGGGGGGGGGGATGTCCCAGCTTATCATTTAATTTTATTCTTGTGAATAAAGAAGTGATTTTACCACCATTCCATAAAAACCAGTCTTGGTTCAAGGATCTCTGAGAAGATGCACTGGAAGATTTATAATCTGTTTAGAAAGAATCAGAGGCTTTCATTTTCTATTTTCTGCCTTATAATTCTGATTTGTGTGAGCAACTGAGCATACTGAAAAAATGAAGGACAAAGTCATTGGCTAAGTAATTAAGTACAGTTTTTGACAAAAGGCCTGTACTCTGTAGAGCATGGGAGTTAAATGTACAAGGTCCCAGTATAACGTGAGCCTATGAGCTATTGTGACTTTACTTTCTATACAGGTACATGTATGTTTACATGTTCTAGACTTCTAAGTTCTAGGAGGGCACAAAGTTTTGCAAACTAGTTAATTGTTTGAAAGGTCTTTATGAGAATCAAACAGTGTTGTAAAATTGAGATTGTAATTTCTGTTTTTTTTAATTTCAGTCTCGTAATAAGTTTTGTGTGAATGCAATGTCAGAAATGGTAAAACGGGTGTGCATTGCAATTCCTATGGACCATTTCTCACACTGTATGTTTTGGCCTGGGTGAGGGTGATCTACAGTATATTGTACATGAACAAACAGTTTACATTTGGGACAACAAAATTTCAGACCAAGTATGTATGGCACATACCTACAGTACATGCACATTGTGCTAGTTAAAACAATAAACTTGCAATTTGGCCAGTTTAAAAAGCAATCTCTATGTCCAATTTTTTTTTTTTTTTTTTGTAGACTACAACAGGGTTGGTGCCTTGGTGTCTGCTATAGCAGAGTTGAATAGAATACAATGTACATTGTAGCTAGCTGTTTGAGTGACCTAGACTGTACATGCATTGTAACCTTAAACCTCAAGAATTATAAATGGAAAGGTATCCTGAGTGTGTGTACCACATCTGATTTGTCATTACAGTAGATCCTTTACTAGTTTTCTCTCTTCCTCCGGCTGTGTTCAGGCTGTGTTGTATTGGTCAAGCCCAAAGCAGCAGGGAATGTGGTCATTGTGGTCAGATTGGAGTAGAACTTTTTGTGTTCCCATCATTACGTCTACCTTCTTTTGTACTTTGCAGACATAATCATTTACACAGTACCCTTGCCTGTATTTTTGGTGTACAGTTGTAGGTCCTTCAAGTACACATTAAGGCTCGTAGATTCAACATTTACATGTTACAACAGAGTTTTAGTTGAAAAAGTGGCTATAAAAAAAATTACTTCTTAATGTACACCTAATGCCACTATTTTAATCAAGATCGAAGCAGATATTTGTTGATAATGTTAGCAGATATATGCCAACTAATGCAATTTTGTCGTACAGGTATCTTGTAGTACAGGTATCTTGTATTTTAAAGCCTGGCAATACAAGTTTGCTAAGATGATGTTCCTTGGATAGGATGTTCCTTGGATAGGATGTTAAATGGGGGCCCCGTGTAGAGGAGAGCCACCACCTTTGCATTTTAAAGGTAATACACAAAGTCTTGGTATTGGGATAATAGGGTCATTAATTTAGTTCAAATGAATGTTTTGGAAGCATATATATATCCTACAATATTCAGTAATCGTTGTCGCGGTTGAAATCGAGTCTAAAGTAATGAAATTGTAAACAATAACTGTTTATGTTGTATACATGTAGCTCTCTCAAGGTCAATAAATAAATTAAGCTATAAAACAATGTTTCTTGACTAAAATCGACCGATTGGATATTCCCGTTTGAAAATTATATTTTCATGGCCGCAGCTACATGTACCATTGTATGGCAGATTGGCAATAGGCGCTATTTGAAAATTATCAAACTTTACCGGGAGCACCGGTAAATCTGTATATTCAGTTTTTCTCGAAAGCAGAAGTGTTTTAAAGGCTGAATTTTATAGTGCTTATACATGTAATACATGTACATTCACAGATGCATCCAAATTCATCAAAATTTTAAAGAATCACTATCCAGCCAATTTTCAAAATTTCCCAAAATTTTGTATTACCTTTAATTTTAAAGGGATCGTTTAACAATCTTATCAGTGTCTGTGATATAGTGTTATATTGAAGCCCTAAAAATGATGCGCTTCAAAATGATAAATGTCTTGATAATCAGACAGGCGATCAGTTTGTAAAAGTCATGGGGTTCCTAACTGACCTACATGTAGAGGTTTATAATTATCATTGCAGCATAAGCTAAATCAAGGATTTTTAAAGGATCTACATGTACGACCAAGTTGCTGGATCCCTTTAAGAACCCACTGCACTATTCATATAGTTAAGAGTAGGGGAAACTCCGGTGTAGTGGTCCACTTGCACTCCCCCAATCAGTTATACCGGGAGGAGAGACCCAGTGATTCAGTACATGTTTCGCCTCGCAGGCACAGGTGACACCAAATACTTAATACAAATAATAATAATAATGTTTGTTTAACAGGAATAAATCTACAGGTGTATGACGCATGACCATCTTTGTTTAGTTTTGGTTTCAAGGCATGTGCATATGGCAGGTGATATTTTCCTGTGGTTGATTTTTATCTTCTTTTTTTCTAGTGCTCTTTTGGTAATGTGTGTACATGTGTACTGTGTATAGTATCGGCCAATGTCGGGTCAAGACATGCTCCATAGAATCTTGACTCTTCCAGTACATGTACAGTATGTTTTGCAATCAGCATCTCCAAGTACTGTACCCGTCCAGTAAGTGTAGTAGGCTACTAGTAATGTACAATGTAGGTACATGAACATGTACAGTGTACATGTATGTACATGTGAATTCATGAAAGAATTTTGTACTGTATCACTCTAGCATCACTATTACCTGAAATGAATTCTCCAATATGTAGATGGAGTAGAGAGGAAGAGTAATAGAAAGATACATGTGGAATGATTGACAGAATGACAGAAAACAAACTGAAGTAAAGGAGAATGAAATTTAATATTGAACATAATGTATGTTAAATTTGAAGAAAAAAAAGAGTAATCGATAACGAGAAATGGAGATTGGAAAAGGAGAGGGGAAGGTACAGTGTAAGATGATTGCCACTCAGACTCAGTGACTCAGAATACCATCTTGAAGGAGTTCATGCAAATGATCAAACTTTCAGTTCTATCTCCTACTCCTAGACAGGTAGAGTGGCACTGGGAGATTTGAAGTGGGGGTCAGTGTCGCAGGTGGACCATGCATTATGAGGAGGAGGCTGTATTATAGTTTGCTGGAGGGCGCATACATGTATGCAAGATAGGGTTGACTGCATGATATGAAACCAACAGTGAAGAAGACACTTTGGATGTCATTGATTGAACCATGAATTTACAGCAAGATACACACCCTGTCCTAAGGCTAATGCCTGACATCCTTACACCACAATGTGTAAAAAATAACTAGATGTACAGTATACATGTGGCAGGGTATTGCATTCATGCATACAAGAGAAATGTATCCAATTAGAGTTGTGAAAGGGAAGGTCATAAAGAAACTGATTTTAGGAAGGTCACTTTAAATCATGTGTTCAATGCCAGCTTTGCTCATGGGTACATATTTTCTGCTGGCTGGTCGCAAACATCCACATGATGTCCGAGTGTGCTTTCATAACACATGTAAGGGAGGCCTCACCCAGATGTCAAATGCTGCTTTCATTCGATGTTCAAAGACAACTGTAGACAATAGACCCTGATGGGTAATTGAGTTATCAGTAAGTACTGTATCTATCATGATGTTCAAAATAATACTCAAATTTTCTTTCCTCTATTTACATGTACATGTATGTGTCTTTATAATTATGCAACATCTAGTAGATGTACAGTAATACTGTAGATGATAAAATATTGAATGATTGATTGAATTGCTTATCATCTGCCTTCAACACGTACATATACATGTAGCTCCTCATGTTTTTATATCTTTACAGTGTACATTTACATGTACATGTATATAATAACTTGCTCATAATCTGAATGGATACAGAGTTACAGACACCGCTGTTATTAGATTTGTAGATGTATACAATGTACAGTACATGTACTGTAGCATCATCTTCTTCCAGTAATACCTAAGTTAGTTGTAATTTAATTTTCTGCACAGAACTGAAGTGATGGGCTAACAAAAAGGTCTTGAATATACATCATAATTATATGATTTTGTAGCACAAAACTCTGCAATTTAAGTAGACAAAAATCTGACATGGCATAGAGTTTATTCCAGCAGGTTTAATCAAGCTTTCCACCGAATCGTCAGTGTTCTTGTTGATAGCTTTATGCTTCATCTCCCCTGGCTCACATCAGGATTGCTCTCCCGGGTCAAGTGTACATTAATACTGTTTTCACACTGGCAATATTTTGCTTAACCCCGTACTATAGGTGGGGTTAAGGGGGGATCTTAGCCCCACCTATAGTACGGGGT